CTCGTTGAAACTATAATTAGCGGATGATGAGTAAAAAAAAAAAAAAAAGGAAATAAATTTTTATAAACAGAGATTTAAATTTATACATATATACTTAGAAAAAAATAAGGATATACAAAAAATAACCACAATATTGGTATTTTGCATTTCAGTTAAAGTATTTGGAAAATACACAAATAATTATAGGAGAGAGAGAGAGTCATATCTATTCGATTCTACGCGAATATCCTTCGCTTTAATATTGCATTTATAATAATCCTGGCAACGATTGCATAGCGTTAATTTCGTGAAACGTAGACAAAATAAACTAGTAAAGTTGAGTAAAAAATTTTGTATTGTCAATCAACGAGGATAGAAAACAACGAATTAACGCGCAATGCTGTCTAAACATTCCAAAAACGACATTTGCTCGTATTAACATTATATGTGATAGCGAAACCGCTTTGGTAAATTTTGTACGTTGCCAGACTTACGGCTTGAAATTCTCCTAGAAAAGAACAAAAAAATCGAAATTTTTCGAAGGAGAAGAGAAATGGGAAACGACGGAAACGACAGAAGAAGGAAAAATAAAATATCTTGATCTTGATCAATTTTTCACGATATGAAATGTGAGGAGTCTTTTACAGATGTCGCCCGCGATCGAAAAAACAATGGTGATCTTTTTTCGCGGACATAACCTCGCGATTCATTTCATGACCAATCGTCGTAAGACTTACTTTGTTACGATAGCGATTTATCAAATTACCTCAGACACGTTAAAAAAAATGTTAAAAGATAAAGATCTCAATTTGACGAGTGTGAAAAAGCTATCGATCGGACAATTGTCGACGATTATCAATGTATATACAAATCCTGCTACTGTTTGCGTTATCATCCTGTCGAATATTGTTCTGTCTGTTTATAAAAAGCCGATAAAAAGCCACGAATGTGGAGACTCTAAAGATAAAAGTGCTTTTGTATGTTTAATCAAGTACAAAAAGTGTACATACCGTGACTGTATAATCATACGTACGTATGTGTAAAAAAAGAATGCTATCGAATTAGAAGTGTACTCGTAGGAAATTGTTGCTCGAGCGACGATATCGGCGAGAATGTGAGAATTTGAGAAAACTTTACCACTCTGAATAGTACTCTGTGATCGTAACCGTGTTGAATTTATATATAAAATTCGTTTCAGAAAAATCATGTTCTCACCAATATCGTGGATCGTTCGAACGAATAGATTTCGAATCCTAGTCCTTCTAGTCATATTAGGAATCTAGAATTTCGTAATAAATCGTAACTAGTGTATAATTTCGAAAGTTACAAAGTTGAAGAGAGAAAATTTTTCGGAGGGCAACATGGGATAAAAACCTTTTCGAAAAGAAGAGGAAGAGGAAAAGGATGAAGAAGATAAAACCGAGAAAGCGAGAGGAAAAAGGCGGAATATTCGTCGTGCCTGTCCATCTCCCGCGGAAGGAACACGCAACTGGAAAGAAGCAATAGGGTGAAATAAAAAAACATTATCATTTATTTGTAAACTGTAGAGATTATTTGTATAGTTAGATATTTATTTTCGTCACTCCATTGTTATTATGTTACTATATTATATCGTAATCATTTTTATCATCATCATTATCATTATTATTATTACTATTATTATTATTATAATTATTATTATTATTGCCATGATTATCATCATTATTATCTTAATTATATACATATATGAAACACATATATTTAACTGATTGTGTATCTATATTTAAAGTAGAATCCATTATTGTTTTCATTATTTTCCTATTAATTAAG